ATTTAACGATGGCTTCGGCATATCTTTTGAGGCTTTTTTACGATTTAACCTAGGCATGAGCAACTCGTGCCTGCATCATATACAGTAGTGCACACATAAGCGTCTGCAGTCGGGACCGAATGCGGACGCTTAAGTGGGCAGGTGACTTCTGCGACTAAACGAGAGAGAGATGTGTCTGAGTGGGATACCGATTATATCAAGTGTCAGTTGTTCACATTCAGGAGTCGATATCGAATACTTTGTTTCCACTTCGAAGTCCCATTTCAAAGAATTGGTGGGGATAGCGACGGACGCTTAAGTGTGCAAAAATGCGGACGCTTATGTGTACACTATTGTACATACATATGTAGTACGCCTAATAGTTTTATTTAGAGTACTCATGAGCTCAAGTATTCACCGTGAAAATATTTTGCCATGTGCTTGAATATTTTGTAATAAAAATAAGGTTTAATATTTTTTAATGTATTCTCTTTTTCAATTGTTATAAATTTTAATACATTTAGTTCGTTTAAACTTTTTTCTATGTATTCATTTAGGTTCTTTCATTTTTTCACGAAACAAAATTGTATATATAGAAACATTGTATATGTATATATAGAAAGTATGCATTATGCAGAATACTTCATATTAATATACAGGGTCTTCCTGAACGAATGAACAAGAATTTACCAATTGATACGGAGAATGATTCTGATCAAACACTTTCGAGCAAATATACTCATGAAATTCAATAGTTAAGAAGTTACTGTTAAAGAAAGTTGCTAATTTTCGTTAATTTTAATGCGGTTTTATTACATAAATGAATTTTTATCTATGAAAATATTAATCGTATGAATAAATCTTTTTCCCAACTTCACTCGGGAGGATTTTGACTTTAAAAATAATTTTTTTTTTTTAATTAATAATGTTTTTTGTAGCGCACGTAAGTTGTAAATAAATTTTTATTTAAACTATTCATGGATAAGATAATATTTTCGAAATGTGCAAAAATTATGTTTTTTTTTTAGCAAAGTTTACACGCGGTTCATTTGGAATATAACGTAAAATGTGATTGCGATATACGTTTTTATGTATAGTCGATGGAACAAATATAGCACGCTCGAAAATCAAAGCAGCAAGTGACGACACAGCATGATCTACTCGCAGCCAGGACCGTATACGGCATTCTGTTTCAGGATCCGCGCAACAAAGCGATGACAAGTTAAAGGACAAATTAAAAATGCCAATTAGCATTTCTAATATTCGAAGTTTCTTTCTGTACTGGACGTGTCGTAAAGCTACGTGACCAACGTGGATCAATTGGCTAGCTCAATTTTAGGAACGTCGAACTGATACAGAATGAAATAATCATTGGAAGAAAGTAGTAGATGAAGTGATAAAAATTGATGCAAAATACAGGTGAAAACGAAGACCATTAGAAGAATTCGAAGGACGACACCCTGACCGAGAGTTCGGTCCTTCTCATATTTCTGTCAATTCCCTTATTAGAACACTCGAAACATGTTTATTTTGACTCCTGACCGATTTTACGAGCTCGCTATATTTGTTCCACCGACTATACGGACTCGAGTGTACCCCATTTCTAGACGGTCTTCCCACTTCCATGGAACGTGTGGTTTCTGCCTACACAGGTTGCCCCACCACAGAAAAGTGGGCAGAGTTGCCAACGCGCGGGCTTAAGTTGCCCAATTTTAAACACCGGAAAGATCTTTCTCGATTGTGATATAAAAGCCACTTTTCGTCGCAAGTTAGAATGCGATTCAAGAAATTACAATATTTTACGTTGTTGCTGTTGCTTTTCGTTTTGATTCGTGCGCCATTCATTTGTCCAATTTCTTTACTTCCCCCATAACCTTCAAATGAACAAGAACAGTCGTACGATATACCCAAAGTTCTAGTATGTACAGTTGGTGGAAGCGACGTAGCGGGGTCGTAAATTGAAGCATTAACCCTTTGCAGTTCTGTGTGGAGTCAGACTCGACATAGGAATTTTTGCCTTCAGATATCGTACAATGATAAATTATAAACGATAATAAATCATTCTTTTATGCATTAATGTTATACTGAAACTTAATGTTTTAGAATTGATATTACGCTGAAATATTGAAATAGAGGTCAACTGTACGGTACCGTCCGACAGTGGCCAAATGAGTGCGGACTAAATGCAAATTCGGGCCGCTATGCAAAGGGTTAAAGAGCCCTCGGTTATTTGTGAATTGATATTTAAAATTTCTGCTTACAGTCTTTACGGTATTAAACCTTTGTCGCTTTCTGCTCAATAGTAATTCCAATATTGGTAAAAATTAATCTGCGGCTGTCAACGATTGAGGCGCAGGCAAATTGTTTAAAGAAGCAATTCCGAGTTGACATCGAACGGCCCTGAGCGAGGCTCTCGGGGTCCTTATCTCCCTCGAATTGCTGTTTTTGCACTCGGAATACGCATACTTTGACTCCTGACCGATTTTACGATATCACTGTATCGGTTCCACCGACTATACTCTCACGTTAATTTTCTTAGATTTTCTTCAATTGTCGTTCTTGAAAGGTTCTCGGGTATCCGTTGGTTTGTGTCCTCGGTCTTCTTGACCTTTAAGGCCTGTGTCACCAGAATGAAATTTCTCAAATGAACTACGTGCTGTGCGTTCACTAGCTGCATTATTGTTGCCTCATATTTTCTGGATATGTATTCGGGGTAGCTTCTGTAGCGTTGTGCTTCAGAATTTTAAGAGAATACATAATTGGTAGAAAATTGATAATATATAAGAAGAAAAAATGAAAATATACTTTCCTATTTTTACATCAAATATTTATTTTTCTACTTTTACATAAATATCTTATGTAAAATTTTGGGTAAATATTTTACGTAAAAATGAAGAAACAAAAGGTAGCCAAGATTATATTAGTAACATATGAAATGTCCGATTCTGTTGTATCAATATTTTAGACCTTATTTTCTCGGTAAATATTTGTCTTTGGAGATGTTTGAAAATGACAAGTTCAAGAGTAAACTTTCTTTTGTCAAATTCTGTCTTTATTTGTTTTGTTTACGTTGCTAACCTTGCTTTTATTCAACGTGCTTTCAAACATGAATCAACGTGATTTTCGCGTACTTTTCTTATATGAGTGGAAAAGTGGTCGTAACACAGCAGCAGCTGCTCGAAACATAAATGCTGCATTCGGGAATGATACAGTTAACGAACGTACAGTGATGGTTCCAAAAATTCGAAGCCGGAGATGAAAGCCTCGTTATTGAAGCACGCGGAAGACCAGAGCCGTCCATTAACGACGGTCAGTTGCAGATTTCTATCGAAGCAAATACGCGACCAACAGTTAGAGATTTGTCCCAAGAATTCAGTGTAAGTCCCACGACAATTTCACGTCACCTGAAATCGACTGGGAAAGTGAAAAAAGCTGGACAAGTGGGTGCCACTTGAACTTAACGAACGGCAGAAGCTCCAACGTCAAGACATATGCAATTCACTGCTAATCCGAAATGATAGGGATCCGTTTTTGGATCGCATTGTCACTTGTGATGAAAAGTGGATACTGTATGACAATAGACGACGTTCTGCCCAATGGTTGGATGCAGATGAATCCCCACGACATATGCCAAAGCCAGCCTTGCATCCAAGGAAGATAATGACCACACTGTGGTGGTCAATGGCTGGTGTAATTCACTATAATTTCTTAATGACGGGTGAAACAATTAATGCGGAGAAATATTGTGCCGAAATTGAAGCAATGCACCAGAAATTGCGAGTAAAACAACCGGCATTGGCCAACCGAAAGGGCCCAATTGTGCTTCATGACCAATGCTCGACCGCATGTTTCACAAATAACGGTGCAAAAGCTGAATAGTCTGCCTCATCCACCATGTTCACCTGACCTGTCGCTTACCGATTATCATTTTTTCAAACATTTAAATCATTTCCTCAACGAGAAAACGCTTATGAATCAAGAGACTGTCGAAAATGCCTTTCAGCAATTTATTGTCACCAGACCTCCGAATTTTTATAAAAATGGAATTCAAAAACTTTTAACTAATTGGAAAAAATGTGTGGAATGTAACGGTTCCTATTTTGATTAATAAAATTTAATATTAAAGAAATTATGATCATTTGAACTTACCGCTAAAAATCGGACATTTCATATGTTACGACCTGATAGTGTCATGGCTGAAGAAATAATTTTACTTGTCTATGTTAACTACGATTTAATTATCCAAGTTAAACGTAATTTAATTAGCTAAATCAACTGTACTATGATCAATATCTTTGTGTTTATTCGCGCATAACATAGATGAAACGGTTTTACTTCAAAATTACTATATCATGTTCAAAAATTGCAAGATCGTTATTTCATTAAATGATCCGGTAATAACAATTTAGTGAAGAGAAGAAAGGAATGCGAGCGCGTAGTGCTTCTATTTAGAGCAGAAAATTTAAGAGCTGTTGCAAGAACTGTTTCATTGTTGAAAAGAAAAGTACAATTTTCTAGTAAAATTCTTTATAGAAAGATTTATTAGTAGAAATTTTTCAAATCTCTGAAAAAAGATTGCAATATTTATTTACATTTATTATTAAAAATATTGCATTAGTATTTTCACTAAATAAGCCTATTTTCATTAATATTTAATCAGCCTATTTTTTGTCAAATTGTATAATCCATTATTTTCACGTAAATTAATTGTTCGTTAATAAAATTCCATGAAATAAAAACACGTAACGCTGAGTGTGTGAGTGCGTGTGTATATGTGTACTTATGTATTTATCTGCCATTAATAATATATGGTAGTAGAATAACAAAAAAGCAATCACAATCACAATGAGCTTGTAATTTTATTTGTAATTTTTTCATAAGTATATAACCGTATGAAAAGAAAAAAAAATGCATAATATCATATTGCAGCCGTATATTGCAAATTGTAATAAATAATTATTTAAGCTAGCCAAACGTATTACCAATATGATTGTGAAATTTTTCAATTCGTGTGTTCACAGCGGTACAAGCGGCGTCAAAAACACTCATGGATTCCCTGAACGAAATCTACGAAAGCCAATGGACTGGTCATGATCTTTTGTATGTGCAGGCTCAAAATCTAGACATGCTGTGGCAAGATTTCACTCATAAGCTTGCAGATCAAGTTCTCGTGCCTCTCAATACATATCAAAGTCAATTTCCAGAGATGAGGGTATGCCTGGCAAGATACATTCCTATAAAAAGTTTTCTTCGATTATCGAAATTTCATTTACCAGGATCATGCATAATCATGTTTCGTTAAGCTGGTACACCACCCTGAGGCGTCTAAAAATAGGTAAAGTTTGGGAAATTTTTTCTTGGCTAACTATTAAATTAAATGTTTCAATTTTGTTAGAAGATATAAATGTAACTTTCAGCTTTCTTCTTTAATTTTTAGAAAGTAGAAATGTTACAAAATGGAGGAGCTATTGCGAAACCTCTTCTGCTAGAACCATCGACTGCCGGCTGCCATCACTGACAAGGATTGGAACGACTGAAATAAAAATTTGTTTTAATTTGTAAATTTCAAATG